CCATTTAAGGGAGCGTGATAGTGAATACACAAATAAGACATGTACCATCTGTCACACCTTGTCCTGTTTCTGTCCTCAAGGCAGATGTGATACCATGATGGATGGGCTCGGCTGATGAGCAGAGTCGAGGTGAGTTGTAGTTTAAGGCAGCAGAAAAGCATTAAGAAGCAAGGAAAAGGTGAATAGCAAAAAGGGGCAGAAAACACCTTATTGCACTGAAAGCAGTGCAGCGATAGGCTCTTGTCCATCTGGGCTGAGTAGAGTCCTGTTGCCTTACTGGACAGTGGGGGAGTATAATAGGTACTTTGCAGTAATATTTGCACTGCGAAGGTGTTACAGCAGTTCTGTGAACTGCATCAGCAGGGGCCAGTCAAAAGCAAACCACTGCCTGCTTTGCATAGGTGGTTTCTCTAGCACAGGTTCCTGCGGTGTTTGTAGGTGTGCCCTGCAATGTGTGCTGTCCCCAGGTGTAGGAGGAGGGGAAGTTGGACTTCGGGTACCTTCTCCTTGAAATGCCAACCCCATCTTTTGTGGGAACCGCATGTATGCAAGGTAACTGTGGGCATCTCCTGTCTCCTCTTGCTTCCTTGTGATTGTAGTGCAAGAGTCTGTCTCCTCTCAGCATCCCAAAGACTGTTGAAAGATGGAAGCTGTGTGTATCTTGTATCTTACCTCTCTGGGCAACTCTTTTTGTATTTTAATGAATACGTCTTTGGTTTTGTGCTGTCCTCATTTGTAGTGCCAGTCTTCGGTCCCATAGATAATTGGGAGAAAAGAGCACATGAAGCAGATTTTTCACAAACAAACAGAATAACAAACACCCTTTGACACTATAAAGAGGAAGTCACAGTGTTTACAGAGAACAACAACTTAATGAGCTGAAAAAAAAAAAAAGCTGGGTGCAGAATTAGAAGGATGCAAGTGTATGTGTATGTTTAAAATGTAAATAAATGTGCGTCATGATCTACATATTCAGTGGTCTGGTATGAGTTGGTGTACCAATGTGTTTCCCTTGGATCAGGAGAGAAGGAGGGCTGAATTCCTACTTCAGCACATGTTTATCTGTTTATCTTAATGCATGCAGTTGTATGATGATTTTAGTTATGATCTGAGAGATCATATGGTGAGATTAGAACTGTTAAGAACAAATGTTCAGTTCTTCCACTTGTAGAGACGAAGGTGAAGAGAGGGCTCCAAGAACAGGGGGCTCAAGGAGCAGAAAGCTGTTGAGAATCCAGAACTGGGGACTGGGTGCTTGATTAGTTTGGGAGCTGCTTTTTTTAATTGTCTTTCATTATTTGCTTTTAAATTCTTTTAAAAATTGAGGGTAGATGGAGATGCTGGCAGTCTTATTTGTGCTTCTGCAGATTTTCAGATTTTTTTCAAAAGGGAATGGGAGGCAGATTCTTATGCTGGAATTTCCTGGCAATTTCTTGGTTTGTTTTATTAAACGTAAGAACTTTGGGGTTTTGTTGGCATTCTCATAAGCAGCAAGAGGGAAATTTGTAGTGTTGTTTTATTGGGTGTTACTGAAATAAACAGGAGGGGTTTTTTTACACTGTCAGCATTGAGTTGCCTGGGGACTTCTTGTGGTTTGGGGGTTGGAGTTTTTTTCTGTGTTTTTTTTTTAAAGCACACAAAGAAGACCTACTTAGTGAGAAGACTCCATGAAGGCCTGCTGGCTGGGCAGGAGCTTTCCAAAACCATATAAGTTAGAAACTTCTTGTTGCAAAAGGTCCAGAAAAATTCTGTGTTGAGATGAGGTTGACACAGTCAGGCGGACTAATTTGATCTGAAAGACTAAGGTGAAGGAGAACCGTGTTGGGGTAGAAAATCTGTTCTTGTTACTTAAAATTGATTTTGACCTTTATGGAGATAATAATTTCACCTCCTGACTAAAGATAATTTTGGATGATTGCTCCAGGTCAGGAATACAACACTAGAAAACTCATCAGTGATCTTGATTTGGTTTGATGTGTTTTTTTGGCCTTTTTGGCTTTTTTGTATTTCTGGTTTTTTTAGGTCAGTGTTGCTTGTTGATTTGAATCCTCACTGCTTTGGCAGTTGAATGGTATTGCCCACAGATTCCAGTGTTGTTTTTCAGTCCTCTATAGTAGGAGTCCAATATTAAAAATTATATAATAGTCATAAATAAGACACCAACACTAAAAATGCCATTCAAATTCTGTAATTAGTTGAGTTTGCTTGCTTTTTCTCTTGCATAAGACTTATATTTCATTCTGATTTTTATTAATTCTTAAGATAAGCATTGTCAAAAATAACGTACAGTGCCTTTGGCTCCTGTCATTAGGATGGCTTAGTGGAGAGTCTAACAAGAAAATAGCTTCCATGACTTTGACAACAAACTCTTTATAAAAAATGTATTCTCATTGTCAGAGTTGTACCAAGCAGCAGAATGAGTGACCCATCTCCCAACCCATGTTCAAGGGCCAAGCAAAGTGTCTGGATTATGCTCTGTTATCTCACATCAGAGAATGGGTCTGCACAGGGTTTTTTGGGGGAGAATTTCCTCTGTCAGCATCATATGTCAAGGGCTCGGTAGCAGAATCACTTTTAATTAGCACATGTGGCAGTGTTTTAAATGTGTGCTTCTAGTGATGTTGGTGAAGAGCCACTAAACAGACGGGGGAATTCATGTGGGGGTTCTGATCAGAATTAATTTACTTAATAGAAAAATTAGGAATCGTTCCCCCGTTGAGTGGGTATGAGTCAAAGACAGCGCTCTGGTGTACAGATTGCCTTTCCCAGTTCTTGTACAGCGAAGAGCCAAACAGATTTGCTCTGCCATCTTTATTTCTTCTGAAATGGTTCACCGAGTAGTATGTCTCATCCTAAAACTGGGGGTTGGTTTTGTTCCATTATTTGGTTAGTTGTTCTTAAAGAAACTGTGGATCTAAAGAAAGAAGTGTGGCCTGCCTAATTGTATATACTGGTTTGGTTTGCATCCGTATGTGGAAAAGGAAAGAAGAGAGTAACAGAAGTTAGACAAACAGATGCCCAAAACCATCTGCTCCTCTCCTCACGGTGGTTAGACGTTCAGTCATAGCACAACAGTGTGAACTTGGAACGGCTCTCCTTTCCTTCAGGACTAGGTTGGCTGGCTTTAAAGTGAGCACACAATGAAGTGGAGATATCTTGTAGGCGGTCATAAATTGCCACAGATCTGCAGTCTGGTTTACATAAACTCAGTACATCTCAAAAAGCTGAGCAATCCTTAGCCTTGCTGGAAGGCCATTTTGGAGCGATGCAGGGCTGCTGTCACAGATTTCAGCTAAGAAACTCGGGTTTCTTCAGGGGCAGGATCATAGTTTCCCAGGGCTGGCTTAACCCAGCAGACTGTGTGTGTCTGTGGTTGGACAGAGCCCAAAGAGGCAGTATAAAAATAATAAATTATTAATATCTGGAAGACATAAAGCTTAATGAATAAGTAATAAGTTGCAGCATTTTCCTTTTCTTAGAAAAATAGGCTGGCTGTATTTGTTTTGATTTTCCTTTCATTGAACATTTTTCTCCTGTTGCTCTTTCAGTACCCTAAAGTGCTGAAATTTGGGATTAATTTTACAGAAAGGAAGTTATACTGCTATCGTTCAGGCTGAGAGAAGGAAGAATAGTAGGGACATTTGCTGGAAAAAGCTTTTGCTGCTTTTGCTAGCAGTTAGGGAGGGTCTGAAACAGCTGAGCGGTTGCACAGCTCCTTCCAGCAGCATCTCCCAAGTGGTGTAGGAAAGGAGACCCCACTGTGTGCCTGCAGAGACACGGGCAGGCACATGGTTAACTCTGGTTAACAAAAAACTAAATGTTCAGGGTGTCTCCCAAGTCTCATACCCATGCTTTGCTGGCAGCAGAAGCTGGGGAAAGCCTTTTAAACAAGCATAGGTAGCCTGCAATTTAAAAGAAGACTGGGGTGGGATTTCATCACTAGCCACCACCACTCTGCTGACACTGACACGGATCCAGCTTTTGACCTCAGCAGGATCCAAGTTGGGCAGTACAAAGTCCTTGTGAAAGCCCAGCCAACAAGCACATTTGGAGATCACCTCCTATTTGAAGCGATGCTTTCTCTGCAGTCCTGGACGGATTTCAACCTGGATAACTCTGCTCCACCTGCTTAAAATCCCTCCCCAGCATTTTGCTGGGTAAGGCATAGGCCCCTCCTCTTCTGCGGTGCTGCAATGTCCCCCTTCCAGTTTCATGCCACCTGCTCATGAATTGATTTCTAGATCATCTGCGCCTCCGATTATTAATTGAGCTGGCTTCCTTGTAATTATTTCAGAGGATCTAAATGTGAAAGCAGTAAGCATGTGCATAGCCACAGTGCTGTGTGGTGCAGTAGCTTCTCTTGGTGTTTATTTGCACCACCCCGCAGGTTGTCATCCCTCCATATTCCTTTTACTGGTAAGGTTTGGGCTCATCCACATTAGTCTGAATTGACCTGTTGCCCCCTGTGAGCATATGGTTGTTGGTAGTGGGGTTAGAGAAGGGCTCTCTGTGGGGAGGAGGAGGAACTGTTGCTCAACAAAGGTGTGAGAGAGTGGATCCTGGAGGAATCAGATCTCATCTTACCATAGGCACAATAGGCAAGATAGCACCTTTCCTTCCACAGGTGTCTTGCTGGAGGATTTTATCACAGTGAGTTTATTTTGGGACCTCAAACTTCCACACAAAGTCTTCACCCCTTTCCATTCATCCCTGCTTTCACTTCATATTTCTTTTTTTTCTCTATCTTGGCACATCATTATGTTTTCATTCATGTATCAACAACAGGGCAGCTCTTGTTGCTTTGTCCCTAGTATTGTCTTCTCCATCCAGATCTTGGAATTGGGAGATCCTTGAAATCCGTGTCTTTTAAGCAGAAGCAAGTGCTTTGCTTTCCCCGTTGCCTGCAATTATTTCTCTCCAAGCTGTAAAATCAACCTCTTCTGGGTACTTTTTCTTCTTAAATCTGACTGCTGCTGACACTGTGTTTCTTTTATCAACAGATTAGCTTTACAGGAGGCCTGTCACCAACAGCCTGCCCTGTTGTACCCACCACCTGGCGAGAAAACTCCGAGGAGAACCTGAAGACAAACCACGTCTGGGAGACAACAGTCCATGGGGTCTGTACCAGATCCTCTGAGATCTGCCAAGCTTTCCCTGGTCACAGCTTCTGCAGAGGAGGACCACCTGGGAGACCTGCAGCCCGCGAAGCACCAGACCCTGCTACCCAGTGGAGAGAAGGCCAGCAATGGCTTCCCGTGCACACCAGCTGGGTCTGCTGGAGTTTGCTTGTTCGACGTGAGATGCACGGCAGCTGCTGGCACGCAGGGGTGTGAGCAGTGCTGCAAGGACGATGCTAGCCAGCAGGAAGCCATCCCTCCTGGGCTGGCCAGCAAAGCTGCTGAGGGGTGTCCTGCAGCCGTAGAGCATGCTGGTTGCCCCCGGCCAGCGGTGCCAGCCCCCACTGCAGCAGGAACCCCCTTGGCGGGGCGGGGGCCAGAGATGATGCCAGCCCCCCAGAGCTCCCGACAGTTTGTGCAAGGCAGCCAGGGGAAAACGAGCTCCCTGGCGCAAATGGATGACTCTGCCCTGAAACCTCAGGGGACTGACGATCAGCCAGCACTTGAGGTGTTAAATTATTCTTCCCCGGGCGACCCTCTAAAGGGTAATGAGTCCTGTCGCACTTCTCAGGCAAACCTTCTGCAAAGAGGGGAAAAGGACAGGGGAGCAGAAAAAGCTGCATGTCAGTCAGCCTCGCCAGCGGGGCAAACCAAAGCTGACCCGGAGAGAGACCCACAGAGCAGTTCGGAGGCAAAAAGCGGGGCTGTGGGCACCACGCCATTGCACCCCACAGATAAAACTGAAGCAGTGCAGAGCAGCGAGGCACCAGCCCAGTCTGGTCACGAGAGCCACCAGCCTCTCCAGCCACAAGAGCCACCGGCCCAGTCTAGCAATGAGAGTCCACAGCCCATACACAACGTGGGTGCCGAGCCGGGGAGCCCAGACCCCACACAGCTCTCCAAATTCAGAGAAACAGGTACAATGACAGTTCAGCCGGAGAGCAGCTCTTTAACTCAGGAAGCAGTAAGCAGGACATGGCGAGATGCTGAGGTTCAGGCCGTGGCTACTGTGGAGAGTAAATCGGCCTCCACCAGTCCCAGCATCCTTGCTGCCTTCTTAAAAGGGAATCCTCCTCCAGAGGAGAAGGAAGAACTGCACATAATTTACCAAGGAGGTATGGGGCTGAGCCAGTCTGCACATACTGACAGTTTATCATCACAACAAAAGTCCCCATGTTCTCCTGGTATCATGTCAAAATCGACTGTTGTTACGGCTGTGACTGCTTCAGCCCAAACCCAGCCTGACAAACTGCCTGGGGTCCCATCTGACATGGTGTCTCCAGCATCACCAGATAATGCAAAACCTGTTCTCCCCTCCTCCCCTGCAGCCGTTACCTCCCAGGGGACATCTGTGAGTAATGCTGAACCCATCTGTGCAGCCCATGATGGCAAGGATGCTGCTCGGCTGCCGATGGATGCTCCAGTCCCACCAAAGCCCGTCCCTGTTGAGCAGCTTGCAGGTGACTCCGGTAATCAAACTCCAGCACAGTCTGGGTCTGGTGCTGGTGAACCAAGCACTTCTGCTGCTGCTGTCCCAGGAACCAAGAACAACGTGCAAGATCTTGTCCATGATGCAGGAAGCAGCCGGTTACCTTCACTCTCTAGCACAGACAGTGAAGCCAAGCAGGAGGTCCTGGGCAGCTCTGAGCAAAAGCCTGTGCAAAGTAAGGGTGCGAGCCAAGGGGAGGCCATTCCTAGTCAACCTGAGGTAAAACCAAAGGATGAAAACTCAGTGGTGCTTGATCCTAAAGGAGGGAGGGATGCCAGCAGCCAACCTGCCGCTGTCTGCGTAAAGGCATGCTCGGAGGGTGTAGGTGAAAACGAGGAGAGCAGAGGCCAGGGAGAAGCTGGCCAGGCACAGATGGCTGGTGACTGGAGCCTGCAGGCAGGACCAATGCCCGAGTTGGGTGCGAGCTCTGCACGTGTCCCCCCTCCCTTGGAGGCATCCGCAACTCCCCAGCAGCAAGGCCTCCAGGCCAAGGAGCCCCGACACGAGCTTCACACAGCAGCTCTTCCTGCTTCAGCTCAGGCCTTGCCAAACTTGGGGGAAAACAAAAAGCATCCCACCCCGGCCATGGAGGCGAAAGTGCAGGTGAAGCAGTCCAAGCATGTCAGGGATGTTGTGTGGGACGAGCAGGGCATGACGTGGGAGGTTTACGGTGCTTCCCTCGATCCAGAATCCCTGGGAATTGCCATCCAGAACCACTTACAGAGACAAATACGGGAACATGAGAAACTGATCCGGGCCCAGAACAGTCAGACCCGGAAATCCATTTCCTCGGATACATCCTCAAATAAAAAACTGAAAGGGAGGCAGCACAATGTGTTCCAGTCCATGCTGCAGAATTTTAGGCGTCCTAATTGCTGTGTCCGACCCGCTCCCTCGTCTGTGTTAGACTGATGTGGTTTGCAGGGGCGCGTAGATGTCTGCGGTAGAAGAGAGAATTCCTCCCCTCAAGTCTTGAGTCCTGCTGTCCGGTTGTGTTATTGGGGTTGTGATGCAGCAACAGTGGAAAATTATTCCCCTTTGTTTTCTGAGTAGCCACGTGCTCTGTCACGCCATTACTATTGCCACAGCTGGTGTATTTCCACGTTATGCCCCCATTCCAACTACTCTCAGATGAAAAGCTAGGCACTTAGCAAAAGCACAAATTCAAATTGCCACCTTGCTGCAGGGAGAGCAGCACCTTCTGATAAAGCAAAATGCAGAGAGATTGTCAGAGTTACTACAGGAAGTTATTTGTGTGCATCACGAGGTCTTACCCAGAGGGGTGGGCTGGGGAAAGCTGGGTGAGGTGAAGCTAAGGTCCAACAGCTGTAAAGACCTAATAAGACCTAATGCAAGACAGCATTCCTGGTGTGTAAATTACCCACGCTGAAGCAAGTCAGTGAAAAGGCTGTGGACATTGATCACTGAGCAGTCTCACCTCTATTGATTCTGTGGGACACCGTTCTTATGTGAGCCCCAGAGAGCCAGGTCTTCCCCTCCCACTGAAATGGAGAACCAGGCAAAGAGTGAGGATCAAGGATCTCATTGGGACAAGTTAAGTCAATGGGATTTTGATGGCTAGAAGAGGAGGTGAGAGAGGGATCTATTCTGCAGGCTTCTCCTCCCCTGCATCAGCCATGCTTAAGGCATAAGCAGGCCAGGCACGAGAGAGCAGGTCAGTAGATGTGTCTGCATCTGACAGGATGGTGCCCTCGCTCGCGCTGTGATGCTCCAGCCAAGGCTTTCAAAAGTAGGGAGCCATTCTGGCTCCTCAGCTGGGGTAGACAACCCCTGCTCCTGGCCTCCTGCGGCGCTGAGCACCTCTCCTCTAAATCACTCTTTAAAGTGATGTGAATCTTTTTTCTCTCTCTAGAGATGCACAGTAATGTTTTCCCATAGGAGCAGGCTATCCTGTGTGTCTGGGTCCATGAGCCTACATGTCTAGTGTGTTTCACTGATTTTTTTAAAAAATTTTTTTCCTTTTAAATCCTTTGCTAACTCTACCTTTTTTGCAGTATTTTGGTGCTTTTCTTGCTGCCTTTCATTAACCAAATACCATTTATTTAGCCTTTGCATATTTTGTTTTACCTGATGCTCTCTATACTATAAACTATTATATTGTTAACTTGAAACATTTACTTTACAGAAGTACTGAACTCTTGAGACAATCTTTGCTGTATTTCTAATGTTAGAAAAGTTGTAGAAACTGCTAATAAAAGGTAGCTTAGTGACTGTTTTTGTAGAAGTGTGATATACGATAATGTCTCAAATGTATGTTGGTCATGTTCCTCACCTTAATAATATTTTTCAAAACGGGAAATGCATTTCCCACTAGCTTTTTATTCTGTCCACTAGAGTTCATGATGGGAGGCTGGAGTACTCCTGCAGTTTGTAGAAAATTCAGTTTCAATCCTGCAAAGGACTGAGGATTTGGATACTGTAATCCTGCAGAGTACTAGAGTTAAATAGGGGTTATTTTTATTCCATTAAAAATTTTTCATGAATCATGATGATAATTTATTTCCGTCTCTAGTACCACGCATCTGACTTACTTTGTAGATCTTACTCTTACAACTTACTCTGTAAATCTTACAGGTTTACACAGTGCAAATGAGTATTAATATCTTTTTTCTTTTTCTTTTTTCCTGTGAAGAAGACCTGAGGTAGTCTCCTTTTATTTAGGAGGCCAGACTTTTTGAGTGTATCAACTGCCAAGACTGCAAAGCAGCTGTTTTGGGGCAACTTTTCCCTAGAAGAGAGATAAAATATTGTAAGATACGGTATTTTAACCTAGTTCAATGAAAGGTGTTGCCCCTAGGCGTAGTACTGAATTGACTGCTACTTTTCCTCTGGTGTATGTTTGGGGGCTTTATGGCACATCCTTGTTCCATCTCTGTATGTTATTTCCCTCTTGATGCTGAATTGCTAATTCTGAAATGCCACATAAGAGAGTGTGTTCCCACCTGTGCCTACCAAGAGAAAAGTCTCCTGCCTTTTTTCTATTAGTACTGCTTCCATCCCCTTCTTAGCAGTGTCTGAGATGTGAGTTTCATGTGAAATTTTGTGTGGGATTAATATTGGCAGTCTCATTAGGTCAGGTTAGTTGACAAGTTGAGTGTCTCTTCCCACGTTGTGTCCATTTCAGCCCTGAAGAGGTTTCCAGAGTTGTCCTCGATATTTGCTGTGTCCTGTCCAGGTCTAAGGCTTTGTGCTGCTCCTTTTGCTTCCCTTCGGCCCCCTCCTTCACAAGCTGCTGCCCAGCCTGTCTTCCTGTGAAATGGTGTCCCTTGGCTCAGCTCCTGTCCCTCTCTCTGCTGTCCCCCCTTGCTGTAGCATTGTGAGCCACCTTACTCTGAACTGTCTCTTTACAAATATGCTCAGTCTGGATATATAAATGGATTGTCATATTTTTTTTCCAGAGGAGAATAAATGGCTATCGCGCATTCACCGATTTCTATGAACTTTATCCTTTAGCTTAAGCTCTGCAAAATATTTCTAGCAGATGGGTATGAGTTGCTTTATTGAGACCAAACTGGGCTTGGCAATGAATGAGCAGGGTGCTGGGCCAGCACTGGAATTAACTCTTCTTTGTGAGGAATGGGAGATCTCTCCTGGTTCCCTGCAGCTGTTTGCAGCTGAGAGCCTTCACTAGCTGGTCCACCCACACCTCTCCTCCCCACTCCAAATAACCTTTCTTCCAGGAAAACTTCATCAATACATACGTGCCACAAAATGCCAACAGGCAAGTTACTAAGTGGATGCATCTGAACAACTGCATGGGCATAACTGGAGAAACCATAGTGGCCAGCAGAGCGCCGTGCTTTAGTATTTTGGGAAAATACAAGTGCAAGGACAAACTACAAAATGTCAGTGATGCTGCCTGATGGTCACAGAAGTCCTGCAGGCATGCATTTGAAGCCAAGCAATAACGTGCCAAAAACCAATACACAAAAACAAGTTGATAATCACCAGCACATCTCATGGAAAATATTTGAGGTTTTCACTTTGCCTTGCAGATTGTAGGCAACCTGCTAGTTTAACACGTGTAATTTATGCTTTCTCCTGTGTACAATGTCTAGATGATAATGTGAATCCTTGTAGGGATGATGCATCTTTCACCAGCAGCAAAATAGAACCGTGTTTTGGGTAGCAATTAGCAAATATTATGTGTGTGAGTGGTCTTGTAACAACCAAGAAAGACTGTTCTTAGTGTCACATCAGCGTCAAAAAATGAAAGTGTGCATGGAGTGGTGTTATGGCAGAGGGTAGGGGGAGGTCATCTGTGTGCCACCACCCTGCTCTTTTTCTCTGCCCAATGACTCGGAATCACATTCCGTTGGTTGAATAAATAAGAGCCAAGGAAATCCATTTGGGCTAATAAAAAGAGGTTTTAAAAAAGAAAGGACTTTGTCATTCCCAAGAGTAAATCCGTATGAAAAAGACTTGTGTTGCAGCCTAGCCAGTTGAAGGAACTCTGAAATTCAGTATGTTGTAGGATGAGAAATTTTGGGAAGCTAGCTAATTGTCAGGAAATTCCTCCCTGTTGGTTGCATCTTCTGGGAAGGCTGAGGTGGCCAGAACCATTAATAAAAGCAGTGAATGAGAATGGAAGAGTTACTTGTAGTTTCACTTCAGGGGCTTTCCACTAGGAAAGATGAGATTAAGCATGTTACAATGTTGCCAATACAAAACCTGAGTTGAAGGAGCACGTCATTACAGGCAATTTGCAATATAGTCCTGGATTTTGTGTGAGGCTGTGACATCCATCGCTGTCCGTGTGCGCTTGGTTGGTGTTTGCCAGCTTTGTGTTGCCTTGGGTACAAGTGCTGAAGTCCTGCCTTGTTTCTGCTGACTTGGTTTGGAAAAACGAGTGGGGAAAGAACTGGAGGGACAAGGAGTAGAATATCTATCATCATCCTTCCAGAGGAAGAAAACTTCCCATTTGTATATACAAGAAGGAATTGCTGAGAAAATTCAGGAGGGAGGGACCAAAAGAGAAGTAAAATGAAGCTGTTGTGTGTGCTTCACAAGGAATTCCCATTCCTATGCCTGTACAGCAAATGTTTTGCTTAAGTTTTGCCCGTTCTGAGCTCACGCGTTTTTCATATCGTTGGTGTCCTATGGAGTTTAGGAAAATCGACATTTCCAAAGGTTGTATATTTTGCTAGTATTTATAGGTATATGCAAATATGATTTAACAAAACCATTAGGCAAACAATCTCAGTTTATTGCTACTACTACCACATAAGAGCTTGTAAAATGTACTGTTTGGAGAAGTATATTCAAGGGGCTCAGAAAAATTGAACATATGCTCTATAGGTAACACTAGCTTTTATCTTGAATTTCATGACTACATTGTCATGTTAAAGCTAGAAGTGGAAATCCAAATGAAAATCAGTGTTGAAGCTGTTGGAGAATTGAAGTTGGCTGCCCCTGGTTTTCAGTTTGGAAACTTGATGGAATCTACCCTACCAGTGTTTCATAACTTAGCTCAGTATATGCAAGGTTTGTATGAAAGTACAAATTTTATTAGCTTTTTAGCTCCATTGTCTTTTTCCATGTCTATCCTTCTACACTTTTTAAAAATGAATGCAAAAGGCTACCAAGACAGAGTAAGTCTTTCACACCCAGTTTATGGAAATGGCTGCTCTTAAGTATTACAGCTGAATTGAGCCAAACTGAAATTAATATCATTTTATTTTTTTTTTAAATCTGAGATTTATTGTTTTATCTGCTTTGTGGTTTTCTGAGCAGCTCTTCCATCCCAGAGTTTATAATGCGGATTTTGCATCAAATCCTGGCAAAGAAGATTTTGCAACATGAAATATATCTTTCATCATTCAGGCTTCTTTAAAGAAGAAAATTATGTTATTACTGAGCCAAATCACACAGAGAGGAAATATTTTTTCCTTTAGGAAAAAGTTTGCTGTAGGTAAGCTTGTGTGTATGTGTGTCCACGTTTAGAAGGGGTGTGCATACATGCAGGTCTCATGCATTACTTATACTCTAAGACAATTTTTTTCCCTTTGCCCTTCTGATTGAATGCTAGAGGTTTAGCATTTTCCACAATTTGAGGCAAGTTTAGATAACTCTGCAATACAGAAACAAGGATTTTCTCTTTATCTGGTCTCTCAAAAACTTTCCACAGCCATATCTGAAAAAAACATGTTGGCCAACATCCATGTCTAGGCTCTCAACAGAAAGTGCAGTAGCAGGGCTGTACGGAGATGCACACTGGCTCTTGAGCTTTGTGGTAATCCACACTTGAATCACGTCAACCGAGTCCTGTTTGAAATACAAAACCTTAAGTTTTTCTTAGCTTTCTGCTTACACTGACAATCTCTGGTGTAGAAATAAATGACAGTTCTGCCAGTGAAGTCTCCAGCAGTTGTCTGCTGCAGAATACAAGTATCTCAGATGCTTCTCAGCAACTATGCTACAGCAGGCACCCCTTCTGGAGGGTCGTCCTGACAACACTTCCATTAGTCCAGTTTATAATCAGTAGTTTCAAGTATGTCAGATGCAACTTTAGGCACTGTCCTGAGGAATTTCAGTAAAAGGGAAGATCCATGTGTTTCTGGTACATAAAATTACGTCTGGAGTCGAGGTCTTGGTTGCATGCTGAAAAGTGTTGGGATTTTCTGCCCAGAGTTGAAGGGAGAGAGGGTGAGTGAACTTTGAATTCCTGGCTGTTGCAAACACCACAATGATGATGGCCATGCATCAGTTAGCAGCAGAAGAAAACCAATTCAGGGGCTTCTAAAGACATCTAATGTTATTGTGGCTTTATTATTTTTATAGTTACACTGACTAAACATGATGTACTATGCGAAGTAAAGCTAGTATTAGGCTTCCAGGTGTACTGTGGTGTTCATTCGAGACGTACCAACAGAAGTTTGCATGTGAAGAAGTCTTACAGTGATACTGAACCAATGTTACCCACCTGATCGAGTCCCTTAGGAATTTAATGTTTTGCTGTTTTACATCTCCTGGTTTCCATGCTGAGTACAATAAAATGAACACTGTCTTAATTATTCTGGGTCTCTGTTTGTAGGTTCACATGGGAAAAGAAAGGACTTTTAAGTGTCACTGGCCATTCTGGCTAAATCTGTGAATGCCTATAAGACAGAGCAGCTATGAAGGGCTTTCTGAATGCGGGCCTGAGACCTGGCACCTTGCAAAGCTCGGTGTGGTGGAAGCCACCACGTGCTGTCCCTAATGGAGAAGAGACCTGTCTGCTTCTTTCTGTGTTGGTGCCATTGTTGCTCTACCCTTCTGCATGAATTCCCTCAGCCTTTTAGCAGCCCTTTCAGCTGCCACACATTAACACATTATTCATCCAGCAGCAACCCAGGTGCCCAGGTGGAAAGGGCAGCATTTTAACCCTGCAGTGACAGTGCTGTAGCAAATTGTCACCACCAGCACACCGTGCACAAAGCCAGGAGCCAGGATCAGAGTAACCTGAAGCTTTTTCCTCCCCAAAAAGAAATGAAGTTTTATCTCATAGTACAAAAGAGTGTAAGATAGCAGACAATGGCAGTGAACTATTTTGATCTGGTGGTGTTACAGGTATGGTATCTCCGTGTGCCTGTCTGCTACTAGAGGACATGAGGACCCCACCTCAGCATATTCTATCCTGTCCTGAGGGGAGAGGAGCAGAACAGGCCCTGAGATAATGTGGTTGATGGTGCTTCTGCTACCAGGGACGTTCTGGCTGCTCACCCCAAGCTGGAGCCCTCTTCCCAAAAACGGTTGTTTCCTTCGCTGTGTTTCTGTACTTCTCGTGTCTTGTGGTTGGCTGCTAGGGTTCAGGCTACTTCAAGTAACTGCTCAGTGCTTTGGGCAATCACGCAGGATATTTTATTAATGAGCTTTACTGGATTCCTTGTCATAGAGTTCAGGTTCCTGTGTGGTAGAGGCTGCTGAAGATTAGTCCCAAACCCAAACTGTTGGGAGGGGAGTGTTTCCCTGCGATAGCTGAGTTCATTCAGCTGTGTGTGCCGCAGCTGGCAAGCTCTCTTTGTAGGCAGGAAAACTGAGGTCTCCCTTTCCTACTTATCCCTGTAGTCTTCCTGCAGTAGGGAAACTTCCTGGAGATCCCCCACCCCTGGGAGACTGACCCAGCAGAAAAAGGACCCCATCAGAAAACAAACAAGCTGGCATCCTGTCAAACCAATAATCACCAGTGCGCCTTTTCCATCTGACATAGGCTTTATGTTACCTAACACAGCAGTTTCAGAGAGACAGTGCTTTTATATATAAAGAATAAGTCTGGCTTCTCCTTTATGCATCATCTGATTTACTGAGGACATAAGCTTTCTCCAAGCAGCAGCACTTCATCCCAAGGTATCTGCTTTGCTTCTTTAATGAGCTAAAGAAACCCCCATGCCTTTAGGGATTCAAACGCCATCAAAAACACTCTGTGCAGGTGGCAGTATTGTGAGTGGAAAACTTATGATTTCCTCATCAAATTTCAAATTACTCCTTGGAGAACTATAAATTGCTAGTTTCACTACACAATGTTGTAAAAAGTAGGCACTTAAATCTGCACCTGAGTGTTTAGATAAATATGGCCTTATTTGTGAGAAGTTGTAGAGTGCTCTTATATCCTGTTGAGGTCAGGTCACGGAGACTTATGGATGCTTCCTATCTCCACAAAGCAAGCCACTGTTAATGAGACACCTATGCCAGTATGGCAGCAGGTGCCTCATAGTAGGCAACTCCAAGCAGAAATAACAGTCTGCGTGTTTGGACCAACAGAAAGTTGTCAGAGCAAATTAGGAAATGGTAACGTAAGCCCCATTGCTACTTGTATTTGAGCAGTGTTTGTATGAGTGAGGGTACTGCCGCCTGCATCGCAGAGCGTCCTGCTTCCCAACGTGGTGTCCTTTGCGCTTACAAGAGTCACATTAAGTGGGATCAGCAGCTTGGGAGAGTGGGTGCCAGCCTGTGAAGGAATTTGCCTTTGCTGTGCCATCTTAGGGATGAATTAACTTCTTTTTTAAAAAAAAATATGTTTTCTAATAGCCTGCTGTGGACTGTGGCACAAGGAAGGGATTTGGGTCATTCATGCTGAGGTTCTGCCTTAATACCATAATTCTATTTATTTCTTTTCCTAATTAGAAACCTGCTCATGGCAGTGCTTTTTCTCCAAATCCACTTATATAACATCAGAAAGACATAAGCCAGCTGAGCAGTGAAGGACGTGTTTCTCACGGGCTGGTGAGACATACCCTGGAGCTGCTCGGCTCCCCCCGTTTCCTCGGTGCCCGTTAGAACATGGCTGGGGTGTAGGAATGGCCGCTGTGTTCTGCAAAGCCTCCGTATCCACACCGAGCTGGGGGCTGCTGGGCTGCATCATCTCAGGCTCAGGAAGGAGGAGAGACAAGGTCCACCCAGAAAACAGCAGAGGTGAGGCCATCCACGAAGGGGCTCCTCCTGGGGTTTGGGAGCGCCTCATGTTTCTTCCCTCGCCTTTGTGTCTCTTCCTTTTTTAAGGACAGTCACTGAGCTATTAATTAATGAGACAAATTAGTTAGGTTTAGTAAGTCATAAGCTAAGGGGAAAACCTCTGGGGAGATGCCTGCTCCACGCGTTGGGTTACTCACCCTTCTGAAACGCACGGGCTCCCGTTAGGTTTTGGATGCTTTGAGCGCCTGCTCTGCAGGCAGAGGCTGGTAGACAGGCTTCCCTGTATTTTCCTGGCACCAGCAGGGAAGGAATGGGGAATAAATAGTGCTGACACTCGCTCGGTCCATATCCAAATGTCTCCCCACACCCAACGTGACTGCATCTTTATGTATAGCAGCCATTTAAAGGAGAAATGCTGCTAAGAAAGCAGAGAGCTATATGGCCGTTTAGTTAGGACACTGTAATCAGATGAGTCTACAAAACATCTGAGGCAAATGCAAATGCAATATATGCTCCAATTTTGGTTAATGATGTGAAACATTCTTCAGAACAGATTTATGTCCTTGCCATGGCTCTGCATGCTTATATATTTCCCACTGGGAAATCTCTCCTGGTATTGACCCTAACTTCCCTGCCACGCAGCTTATGTTACAGCAGGCTATAGTTCCTTCATCCACACATCTTAAGCAGTGCTCTCTCTCCTCCCAAACTTACTCACCCTTACAGCTTGGCTCAGCTGATGTTGAAGGACTGTTTGGAAGAGCGAAGCAGTCGGTTGCTCACTCTGGTCTGCTCTTCACATTTTGAATGTTGCCACGAGTGATACTAGCAACGGTCTTGCATTTCTTCACGTGAGCTCCTGTGCTTTGGGGACATACCCTGAGATCATCAAACTGAGGGCAAATAACACAGCCAGGACATGGCTTCTGCTCCCTGGGGTGGATGTAGGTGAGTAGCTTCTTCCCTGTCTGCCACTCATGTCTCCCATCTCCCTCTGCCCTTGCAAAGCCAAAGCCAGGTTCTCTGGCCCGTTCCCCCGTGGCAGCACAGGTGGAGCGGAAAGCACTCATATTTTCTCCACTGGATATTTCCCAGAGATGGCACACTTCCCACAGGCACAGAGCTGCAGTAACCACCTCATAACGTCCACTCCTTTGCTTGCAGAGAGAAAATCTGTCCCATTTCTTTTGTGCGTTTTCTTTCTAGCCTGGCTCACATACAGGATGGAAAAGCTACTGCAAACTAATTGACAGCACTATAGAGAGAGCCTACAAAATTGAGGACAGTCCCTAAATGGTCCTAATCTCTGCTGAAACTGAAGCTGGAGCTTTTGTAGAACCTGCCCCTAACAAAAAAGAGAGTTATATGGTATAGCTTGCACCATTTTTTCTAGCGACACATGTGGAGGTCACATCCAGCTTCAGCACAGCTGGTCCATCCTGTGTCCAAAACTACATTGAAGCCTCCCTCTACTGGGGCACACTGCTCTCTTTTATTCATCCAAGTACGTATAGTGGCACAATGTTCATATTGCTCTTTCCTGGCAATTAGCTCTGCTCACACACTTTTCTACCATTGCAATGCATCCAGTAACCAGCTCCAGAAGAGCTTTCATACTTCTTTAAATTGTTTGGCAAGTTTTGCTTGAATAATTTAATTGGGTCTTTCAGTGCTGTGGCTTATATCCTTAAAAGATAATATACCTAATCAAAACAAACAAAAAAAAAAACTCCAAATACCTTTCCAGGTTCTAGGAGGAAAAAGGGGTTTGGTTTCCGTGTCCCTGTCTGAGAATATGACATCTGTAAAACACAAGTGCAGTTGAGAAAAACAGCACAGCATGGAGCTTTGCTTTGATAGCAAAGAGAAAAGTCTGTAGGGGAAGGAATGGGCTGGTTTAAATGCTCCTTCTCCTGGGATGCTCCACAACTTTCCAGGTGAATGAAGTGTATTTTGCAAAGGCATTTCAGCACTGTTAAAACAGTTCAGTTTGGCTTTCAAAAATCAAGTGTGATCGACATGTTTTCCAAAGTGCTGCAATGTGGGTGAAAATAAGCAGTAGCTCATTAAAGAAAAATACCCTTTTAGATGAAAAATCTCTGAGCAGCTTTCCTGTAAGACTGGTTTCTAATGAGTGGCCTTGACAGGCTGGACCTTGCTAGGGAGGACAATGAAAAAGGAAGCTCCCATCTCTCCCCACCTTTGCAAACACCAGGTGTGTTGGTGGTGTTCATTAAGCTCAGGAGGCAGTAGAGGCTCTGTAGAGTGGGAGGAGGGCAGGGCACAGGTGTTCATCATTAAGCCCCGTAATCAGCAGGAGATGGGACGCAAGAGGGTAAGTTGATATCAGTCCAGTGAGTTGCAGCAGAGATCTAGGTACAAAAGTGAGCAAGGTTCAGTCTTGTGAGAGATGGGAAAGTTTTAGGTGATGGCTTGAGAAGACTGTTCACCCTGCAGGACAGCTGAGAGAATCAGGGGAGCTGCAGGTAAGGTGTGATATTGAGTTTTTGTTTGTGTGATGACTTTGTTCAAGGTTGGTTCAAAGAGCTGTGAAACTTGGATCTGGTGAGTGGAGGATAGAGAGCCTGGGTTGAGAGGAGGGACCCAGAAATGGGGCACCATG